TGACATTTACAAAATGATAAATTATCAATTCTGGTGAATTAGTCTGAATAGTCCAAATTTCTACATTCATCTGAGTGTATTACAATAGCCAGATCATAATTTATTTACTACGTGGCTTTGGAAACTCTTGTCAATGATAAAGACACTAAAAATTATATTGTTAACCAAAGGGGAGCCAAATTGCAATGTAAGTATCCATCCAAATAAAAGCAAGAAATAGACAATGAATGTAAACTTTCAACTATAAAAATGGGTGAAACAGTTGGAAGAGTTTATTCTACCAATTTAGTACTATGGAATATTAAAGAGATATGAATTTATTTTTTATCACTAGAAATGTTGTCCATGGTGCACCTTGGAGGTTCCAAAATACCAAATCTAATTTTCCTTTAATTTCTTTGTTAACCATTTCCACATAGGAAAACAGAAATTATTATGATAATAAAAAAGCCATGTCATTTGTCCTTATGGCAAATAGATCAGAGTCGGCAACTAGTCTACATGACTCATTTTGGACATGACTTTAATGAGAACAAATGCTTATTTAGATAGTAACAGTTAGTCTTTATTTAATATCTAATTACAGGATCTCCCTGTCATTAAAAGGCTAATTTGGAGCCTAATCACATTCTGCCACAGAATGGATCAACTACAGAAGAAAGTACCTCAGAAGTACTGTAGTTTAAGATGCTGAAATTTGTTCCTTGCATAGTATGCCTAAACTGTATATGTTGATAGATGGAAAGGTATTTCTACCATGCTATAGCACAATGAAAAATAAGAAACCATAATATAGATTAAAAGATTTGGAAAATAAATATAAGGACTATAGCCATTCTTCCTTGAGTAGCCATCTTGTCTTGTGACTGTTAACCAGTGGTGGGCTGCTACTGGTTCTCCCCGGTTTGGGAGAGCTGGTAGCGAAAATCTTGACGTAAGAGCAAACTGGTTCACTCCGACCGTCAGCTGGGCCCTCCCGCCCGTCCCTGCGCTATATCTACATTTATTCCTTTGTTTGTAGCCCAGCTATAAGGTGCGGCAGAGCGGATTGCTGTGCCTCAGCTGTTTTGAAATTTAATGCGCTTGCGCGAAGCTGATCATGCACAAAGCATGTGCGTGAAGCGGTGATAACACCGGTTAGAACCCACCATTGCTGTTAACAGACTTAACCATAATAATAAAGGGAATTTATTTGCAGGATAGTGAAGAAGATTCACTGAAGCTAATATACCAGAAACGCTTATGGAGTACTGGAGAGATCAAACTGACCTGCAAGAAAAACCAGATGAAGAACAGAAAAGAGACATGGGAAGACAAAGCATTACATGGCCAGTACAGTACATTAAAAAAAAATAACAGCTACATAACACCCCAGACTTAACAACTGTTGATAAGAAAGACAAAAAAGTCTGAATAGTGTATATGAGAGTATCTGGAGACAGCAAAATTGAAGACTAAGAACTCAAAAAAATGACAAAATACAAAGACCTGCAAAAGAAACGAAATGACTGTGGTAAAAGAAAACAAAGGTAGTACCAATAATAATAGGCATTCTTTGGTGCAATCCCAAAACAGTTGGAGCACCATAACCATTTAATGAAACATCTATAAGAAAACAACCAAGCTCAGAGAGCACCAAGGACTCCCTCATTGACAAATTTATTGCTGTTCCTTGTTTTCACGGAGAACTCTTTTTCTATCTTACCCGTTTTTCTGTACACTGCTCCATTTTTGCCTATTTTTCTCACATCCTACATCTTTGTGAAAAACCAAAAAGGTAGAGCAAACAGTTTTAATTTTTCAACAGTTTTGAGTTTCTAGCAGCACATGAGCCAAGCAAAAATTTACATAGCAACATCCCTATCCAGAATGTGCCAACTCCCTACCTAAGACTCTCAAACTGGAATATTTACTTTCTGAAAACTGTTAGCTATTAAAAGTCTAAGCTGTAAAATAAGCTGCCAAATAGAAATTTTGTTGAAGTTAGGATTTAAAGTCGCCTTCCTCCACATTGGCTGCTCCTTAAAATTATATAACTAATCAACCCAACACACAGGAAAGACACTAAGGAAAATCTAAAAATACACATATAACCAGAGGGCAAATGTATTGAAATGTTTTTAACCTATCTTTATCAGAGCAAGCAAGTTTCAAATAATGAATGAATAATCCATTTTAGGTCACAAGAGCTATCTATTCCCTCCAACTTGTGGGACTTGCGATTTGGACTTCAAATCTGAATAGCCAAGCCAGCATTGTCAATGGCAAGACATGGTGGCCGCTGACATCCACAGTATCTATGAGTTGCTTATCTGAGCTCTCAATACTTTTTGAGTACTTCACATAACTAGATCTAGGCAGTTGTAGCCCCACTGGGATCAATCAAGGACTGTGCCAATCACTTTTCAGCATTCTGTTTCCAACATCTTTACAGTGACTGTAAAACTTACTCTTAACTTTATTCTTCAGGATCCATGATGGTGATGCCAGGCTTAGAGATGGTGAGACAGAGGACAGGTTTATTTTCAAAAGGAACTCAAAAAAGAAATTTAATAGCAATTTTGAATTCTGAATTATATTTACAGAATGATGGTTCCCAAATTATGGCTTAGCATTTTAGTTCATAAGAGCTTAGTAAGGAGCAGGCAATCTTTTTCATTTGATGATTACAGGGTTGTTAAAAAAAATTAATTGGCTGTAGGGAAGGTTATCCATGACAGGCTAACATCACTGGGAGGTTTGGGGAGGAGAGCTGGGGTTTATTAAACTTTTAAAAAGGTGAACTTTGCCTTGTAGATTTTTTGAGCCTGTTTTTACCCTTATAGTATTTTAATGAAGATCTTTCACTTAAAAAAAAATGATCTGCCATTTTTGTTGTTGTTGAGGTTGGTTATGTAGTCTCAAACTAGATGCTCCAAATTAGGTCTATGAGAGCAGAGGGCTTATTGGCTACTCATTCTAAGCTTAGTTTATGTCACGGGTGTCAAATTTGTGGTGTCACATTGCTGTCACATGACTTTTGCTACGTTTTTCCCTTTGTGGAGCTGGGATCGGTGTGGCCTGTGTGTGATGCATCCGGCCCATGGGCTGCCAGTTTGACATCCCTGGTTTATGTGGAAACCAACTCCATGTATCCTTCCATGGCTGTATCTAAGCAAAGATATATTCTAGCACTTTTCCCACAGTACCAGCCAAATATACCATTGAAAAACCTACAAGCAAAGTGTTTTGAAAGAGGAAGATCACATGTAACTTTTCTTGCATTTTGGATCATAGTTTCCATAGCCTGTGATCACTGGCCATTCTGAGTGATGTATACATTATTCCAAATTGCCTAATTCCATGTGGCATTCAATAGAGGCTCCCTGTAGCTTCCGTAATTAAAACCACAGACTATCTTCATGAATTTGTTTAACCCTGTTTAAAAGTACTGTACTCTGAGCTATACAGGGAGTAAGAGACTTAGAATTACATTTATCTATTAATTTAGTCTTAAATATGACATATACTGCTAGGTAAGCATGTCCATGCAGGATATATTTTGAGGGACCAGAATTTTACAAAACATAGTTTACAGGCCAGGCACTTAAAACATATCTTTTCAACATATCTTATTTAGATTACAACTCCTAGAATTTTCAGCTAAACAAGGCTGTCAAACTCCGGGCCCATGGGCCAGATGCGTCACGTGCTGGTCATGCCCACACCCGGTTTAGCAAAGGGGAAAGAAGTCCAGATACATTATGTGACACCATGAGTTTGATACCCCTGAGCTAACAAGAAGAAAATAGAGTGTCAGATTTGGAAAGAGTGTTATAATACTGTAATTATGGCAATGGGGAGAATGCTTCACAGTCAATGCTTAAGTCCTGATTTAAAGAACAATTTACTTATTTTTCTGTTTATTACTAAATTACACATTTTAACAAATCTATCTAAGCAAATAAAAGTGGATTCAATACAATCCTCAGTCATTTTGTCTTGAGGTACACAGCCTACTTAGATTTCTGTGGTGGAGCTTTGCAGGATTTTCTGGTGCTTATTTTACTTATTTTTTATTTTATTTTTTATTATTTTGCTTATTTTTAAATGTCTGGTTAAAGGAACTTTGCTTTTAAGTTATAAACTTAATTGTCCTCTTTTTTACAGTTCCTTCCATACTCTGTTCTGATCTCATCCTTATAGCTTCTGAGGACTTACTCTCAGGTGCTGGTAGAATTACAGCCTTGTGTTTTTATTAGGATTTATTTGTTTTTACTCTTAATGCTTGTTAATTTGCATGTTACTGTAAACTAGCCTGGAATTATTTGGCTCAGGAGAAGAATAAAATAAATTGTGGACAATTTAGCAGTTTAATAACAACAGCAAAAAAGCCCCCAAAGCACTTGTATGAATAGAAAGAGAAAGCTGAAGAGCCTCGCGAGAGGTGAACATAACTGGCTAATCAGAATATGGACCATAAAAAAAGTTTTCGGTATCCATCAGCAAGTTGAAAAAGCCAACTCCCTAGAAGGAGGAAAATGCAGTGTGGAAAATCAATTTTTTTTAAAAAAAAAACCTCATTTTTTTCATAAAGTTTGAAGGGCCTTTCCTCTTCCGTTTCCTATTCTGCAACTAGTTCTACAATGCGTTTGCCGGTCCTTTCTTCGGGCTGTGGAAAAAACCCGGGGCAAATTTAAAACTTTTTTCCCCGAATACAGAGTGATCCCCAACCAGCTTTGAGGAGGGCGTCCGTCCGTCTCCCCCCTCCCCTTCGTTCGAGGGCTGCGAGCGGAAGGGCAGGGGAAAAAAGCGCAAAAGTGACTCCTATTTTTAGTGGCGAAAAAGGCGGCGGGATGGGGCTGCATACTTTTCAAAAAGCAAATGCAACCAGCAGACTCCACTTTGCAGCCTGCATTTTCAGAGACAAAGCAGACGTCCGACAGAAAAGAAAAACTATCTTAAATGAAAAGCTTGTTATTTTTTTGCGGCAGAGGAGTCAATATTGGCTATATACTTACTGCGTCTTGCAACAAACGTTTTACTTGACTAAACGACGGACAGAGACCACTTTATCTGCTTTTTCAAGCCAGGTTTGTTTCAGGCTTCGACTTTTCGTGCCGACTGCGATCAAAACCTCTGTCTGAAGCACTTCCTTCTTCTCTGAGCATCCTACACGCCTGTTGCTTTTAGCTACGAGGGTAGCGTTACTACGATTTTTTTCCCTCATTTACTCATTTCCTGGAGATGAGCTTTACTCTCTCTCTCTCTCTCTCTCTCTCTCTCTCCGAAAAACTCTCTCCACCCAGCAGAGGAAAAAAGCGGCGCAGTTCAGCAAAGTTCTGCAAAGTCCCAGGACCTTCTTAAGGTGGAAGGTGGTGTCTTAAACACCCCAGCGACAATTGCTAGCTTTTTCAGACTTTACTTTCTTTTGCCGGTTCGAGTGCAGAGGAGAAAAGACTAGCGGATTCTTAACAGACACACTTTCCGAGTAGGACAGGACGTGGGGATGGGTGGGGAAGGAAGAGCGGATGGTGGACGCCCTTAAATCTCGCCGGTTGTGCAATACGCGAGGAAGCAGCAAAACAGCAACTTTCCGGAGTTTGCTCCTCGTGGGTTCTCTAGTTGTGAAAACTGTCTGGGCAACAAAGCCTCCTGTATGCAAATTTCCTTGTCCGGTTACACTGCCAAGATTTCTCTCTTTCATGTTTGGCCTTACAGTTGCCTGTTGAGAAACCCGAGGATGCTATGTTGGTTGCAAATCCTTGGGGGAGGGGGAAGTCGAGAAAACAATAAAGAGCCCTGAGGGTCAGCCCCAACCTTTTGTTCCCATGATAACTAATCAAATACATTGGGGTCAGGACCTTCTCCAGCAGCACATTGTAATGATAATATTGAGGAAGAATGACCAATGCTCATTTATGGCTTGATCCTCCATGGCTTTATTTAGCTGCTTTAAAAGCTCTGCAAGTTGGCAGCCAACCAAGCAGCCAACCCATAATCACTTGGCTGCATATACTCCCATGGACGCAGAATGCCAGAAGAATTCAGTTCTATTTCTCCTGTTTCCTGCCTCCCCTGAAGTCCCACGTTATTCTGCGCCCATGGGAGTATGTGCAGCCAAGTGATTATGGGTTGATTAAGTACCCGCTGTTAAAAGTAATTCTCCTTAAAGAACCACACTCTGTGGTTCACAAACTTGGAATTCCCATGAACTCAACAAGTTTTATGGCTTATTTATTTATTCATTGGATTTCTAGGTTGCTCGCCTCCAGAGTGGCTGCGCAGTTTTAACTACTGCTAAGAAACAATACCATACTATACTACCATGTAATACTATACCGTATTTATTTATTTATTTATTGGTTTGATTTATATGCCGCCCTTCTCCGGAGACTCAGGGCGGCTTACAATGCGTTAAGCAATAGCCTTCATACTTTTGTATATACCCGCTTAGTAAGGCTTTCGCCCCCCCCCAGCGGTGTTCTTTTTTATACAAAGTCAGCTTATTGTCCCCACAATCCGGGTCCTCATTTTACCTACCTCGAAAGGAGGGAAGGCTGAGTCAACCTTGAGCCTGGTGAGATTTGAACTTGCAGTAATTGCAGGCAGCTGGTGCTATTTAACAGCACTTTAGTCTGCTGTGCCACCAAGGCTCTTGCCTTACCATACCACTACAATTTTTTACCTACCTACCTACCTACCTACCTACCTACCTACCTACCTATCTATCTATCTATCTATCTATCTATCTATCTATCATATTGTGATGCTCCACAGACATAAGGCTTTGGATCTGATCTCTTACCCAATACCAACACCAACTGGAGCTGACTATAAAGAAAGGAGAGCTACTGCAACACCATAACCCACTCCCTGCAGCCAGTCCAGAAAAATACTACAATAATATGAAAAAAGCCACTGAGAGATCAAGGAGAGTCAGGAAGGTTGTATTATTCCCATCCTGGCCTTGCCATAAGTCATTGATAAGCACGAGCAAAGTATTTCAATACTGTATGCTGATGTGAATTCCAACTGAGAATGTGAATTACCCTGAAAAGTCTGGGTAATCCATTATTTCCAGAACTTGTAACTGATCACCTTCTTATCAACTTTCTTCAAAAATGGGAGGTTGGAAACTGGATGAAAACAATCTAGAATTGTTAGGTTCAGTGGTAGCCTTTTGAAAAAGCGACACACCACCATCTCCTTCAAGGCCAACAGAGCCCCTCCCCCCCTGTTTGAACCGTCACGGAAGCAGATACTACCACATAAAGCAAAACAAACCTGTTGGGCAGTCTTCACCAGTGAATAGGGCTGGGTTAGCAGTTCTGAAGATCTTGTGTACTTCCTTAGGACTAAAAGGATTACATTATTAGCCAACCAACCAAGGTTATGCTTTTGCCAAGTTCGAATGAATCTGAACAACTTTACCAAATGTCTAGAATAACTTCACCATGGTAGATAATAATCCATGTCCTACAATACTCTCCAATAAGAAATTGGTGACCTGAAAAGAGGTTGTTGGGCCTTCCATTTGGTTGGCAATGTTTTGCTTACATAAGGATCCCTTGTCAGAGTTTTGCAAAGGGAAAACAAGCAATCAAAACCTATTACAAAACACTCATGTGTCTTCCCAACATAGAACTGTGTGTATAGTATACCTGTATGTAGATGGGTGTTATCTGAATATAGTATATGATAGGGATAAAAAACATCAAAGACAGAGGTTTATTCTCTGAATCATGTTTTATAAATATATTTTTCAAAGCTGTTCTCTGTTGAGAGAGCAACACGTCTACATATGGAATCAGTGAAATGTCTTGTTTTTGAATATATATTTGTGTACTGATGTTGAGGAAAAGGTTGTACTTACAAATAGTAACTTCAAAAGCTTAGTATTATTATTATTATTATTATTATTATTATTATTATTATTTATTATTTATTAGATTTCTATACCGCCCTACTCCCGAAGGACTCAGGGCGGTGCACAGCCAAACAATAAAAACACATACAATACAAAATTTAAAAAATAGAATAAAATCAAATTAAATAATTTTGGCCCCGACAAATTTAAAACCCCAAACTTTTAAAACCAATTTAAAATTGAATATATAAATACTAAAAAATATTTAAAATTTTAAAAATCTTTTATAAAAGAGGGGGAAAATTAGGCCAGGCCGGCCTGGTGAAATAGTAAGGTCTTTAAGGCGCGGCGGAAGGTGAGCAGATCCGGGATCCTCCGTATCTCCGGGGGGGAGCTCGTTCCAGATAGTAGGTGCCCCCACAGAGAAGGCTCTCCCCCTGGGGGCCGCCAGTCGGCATTGTTTGGCTGACGGCACCCGGAGGAGCCCCTCTCTATGGGAGCGTACCGGCCGGTGGGAGGCTATTGGTGGTAGTAGGCGGTCCCGCAAGTACCCGGGTCCTAAGCCATGGAGCGCTTTAAAGGTGGTAACCAAAACCTTGAAGCGCACCCGGAAGACCACCGGGAGCCAGTGCAGCTCGCGCAGGAGAGGTGTTACATGGGAACGCCATGTCGCTCCCATTACCACCCGCGCGGCCGCACTCTGCGCCAGTTGGAGCCTCCGGGTGCTCCTCAAGGGGAGCCCCATGTAGAGAGCATTACAATAGTCCAGGCGGGAGGTGACGAGGGCATGAGTGACCGTGCGTAACGAGTCCCGATCCAGAAAGGGACGCAACTGGCGAATCAGGCGAACCTGATGAAAAATCCTCCCGGTCACGGCCGTCAAGTGCTCTTCTAAAGACAGCCGTGAGTCCAGGAGGACGCCCAAGTTGCGAGCCCTCTCCGTGGGGGCCAATGATTCGCCCCCAATAGTCAGTGATGGCGTCAACTGACTATATCGGGACGTCGGAAACCACAGCCACTCAGTCTTGGATGGGTTGAGCCTGAGCCTGTTCCTCCCCATCCAGATCCGTACGGCCTCCAGGCACCGGGACATCACTTCAAGGGCATCGTTGGGGTGATCCGGGGTGGAGATGTACAGCTGGGTGTCGTCAGCGTACTGATGGTACTCCACCCCGAAACCACGGATGATCTCGCCCAGCGGCTTCACATAAATGTTGAACAGGAGAGGCGAGAGGACCGACCCTTGCGGCACCCCACATATGAGGGGCCTCGGGGTCGACCTCTGTCCCCCTGTCAACACAGACTGCGACCGGTCAGAGAGAAAGGAGGAGAACCACCGCAACACAGTGCCTCCCACCCCCAACTCTTCCAACCGGTGCAGCATGATACCATGGTCGATGGTATCAAAAGCCGCTGAGAGATCTAACAGGACCAGGACAGAGGAGCACCCCCTGTCCCGAGCCCTCCAGAGATCATCAACCAACGCGACCAATGCCGTTTCCGTGCTGTACCCGGGCCTGAAGCCCGACTGGAACGGATCCAGATACGTCGTTTCATCCAGGTGCTGGGGGAGCTGTTGCGCGACCACACTCTCAACAACCTTCGCAACAAAGCGAAGATTGGAGACCGGACGATAATTTACCAACATTGCCGGGTCCAGGGAAGGCTTCTTGAGGAGAGGCCTCACCACCGCCTCTTTCAAGGCGGCGGGAAAGTCACCCTCACTCAGCGAAGCGTTTATAATCCCCTGGAGCCAGCCTCGTGTCACTTCCCGGGAAGCCAGTACTAACCAGGAAGGACACGGGTCCAATAAACAAGTGGTCGCGTTCAGTCTACCCAGAATCCTGTCCACGTCCTCAGGGGTCACAGGATCAAACTCATCCCAGATAACATTCTCAAGACCTGCCCCTGTCTCTCCCCCTGAGACTACCCAGTCGGAGTCCAAATCTTCCCGAATCTGAGTGATTTTGTCATACAGATACTGAACAAAATCCTCGGCTCTACCCTCCAAGGGGTCCTCCCGCGCTTCCTGGTGGAGCAGGGAGCGGGTCACCCTAAAGAGGGCGGCCGGGCGATTATCTGATGACGCAATAAGAGCAGCAAAATAACTACATTTCGCTGCTTTTATCTCCACTAAGTAATTCCTAATGTGGGATCTTACTAGTGTCCAGTCAGATTCAAGAAGACTGGCCCTCCAACTACTCTCTAGGCGTCTTTTCCGGCGCTTCAACTCCCTCAGCTCCTCGGTAAACCAAGGAGCCAATTGAGATCGGCGCCGGGTCAGAGGCCGCAAAGGCACGACCCGATCCAGAGCACCAGCAGCCGCCCTATCCCAGGCGGCCACCAGGTCTCCAGTCGAGGCGTGTGCCAGAACCTCAGGAAATGGCCCAAGCTCCGTCTGGAATCTGTCAGGTTCCATCAGGCGCCTGGGGCGGAACCATCTGACCGGCTCCGCCTCCCTGCGGCGGGGTGCAGCGGTTCGAAAGTCGAGACGAAGGAGAGAGTGATCTGACCATGACAAGGGTTCAGTAACTATATCCCCTATATCAAGATCCCTCAACCACTGTCCAGAGACAAAAACCAGATCCAGCGTGTTTCCCCCTGTGTGGGTAGGGCCATGAATTAACTGGGTCAGGTCCATAGCTGTCATGGAAGCCATGAACTCCCGAGCCATCTCTGACGTCTCACCCACGGACGGCAGGTTGAAATCCCCCATAA